TCAAACTGTCATTTGTCACTAGTTCAAAGACACATTGCTGCTATTCCAAAGCAGGATACATTGTTTCTGTCTTGTTTATCCTAAGAGCTCATCGTTTTTTTTTTTCCTTACTGATGCATGCTTATACATAATTATGGACCACCAGCTGATATTTCATTACAGGCATAGTGTGTAATGTTCAAACCAGGGCAAATACATTGATCTCCTCAAACACTGATCCTTCTTTTGTAGGGAACACATTCAACATCATTTATTCTAGCTTATTCTATAAATACATAGCATGTTATCATCACCACTTTGTTGAAGACAAGTTTTTGTCTTTCTTTTCTCTGTGTGTGGGAACACAGGACTTCTATCTCACTATCAACCTGCTTACTAACCCTTCTTCATAACCTCAGCTTTGAATTTTTCCTAGGCATTGTAACCACCAGTCTACTCCCAACTTCTAAGAGGCAAACCTTTTTAGATTCCACATGTAAGTGAATTCACATGATATTTGTCTTTTTTGCTGTTGGTGTTTCTGGGTTGTTTAATGTAGTGACATCCAGTTCCATCCATGTTGCAAATATCAGCACTTTATTCATTTTACAGCTGGATAGTATTCCTTTAAGTACATCTATTCATCTGTTGATGGACATTAGGTTGTTACCATTTGTTGGCTTTTCTTAATAGTGGAGTATTAACATGTAAGTACAGATGTTATTTTGACACACTTATTTTATTGCCTTGGCTATACAACCATATATATTTTTTATTCTATTTCTAAATTTTTTAGGAAAATATCTATTGTTTTCTACAATGGCTCTGTTAATTTATGATCCAAAATGTGCAAGGATTTCCTTGTACCTGTATCCTCACAATAATTTGTTATCTTTGTATGTGTGTGTGTGTGTGTGTGTGTGTGTGTGTGTGTGTGTACACTGATCACAGGGTTTCACATATTCTAAACATACTACCACAGAGATCATCCCTAAGCCATTTTGATAACAGCTAATCTAACTAAAGTGATTTTATTTTTGTTATGATCTGCTTCTTATATATGAAAACTTCATATATAAGCCAGCTAATTACATTTTGTTTTGAGAAAATATCCACTTTTAGATCAGATTATTTGTTGAGTGATACTTTATTTGCTTTTTCTACTGAGTAGTCTCAGTTCTTTATGTAATTTGGATATTAATCAACCATTAATTATACAGTGCACAAGCATATTCTCCTGTTCTGTAGGTTGTCTTTGCTCTGTTGACTGTTTTCTTAGCTGTGAAGAGCTTTTAAGTTTTGTTTAGTCTCATTTTTCTATTTTCACTTGTAAAAAAGGAAAGATATGATCTCATTTCTGAAAGCCCTGTTTTCTAATGTCTTGATGTGCTCCAACTATATTTTGTTCTAGTAGTATCATAGTTACAAGTTATATTTGCATTTTTAATCCAGCTCATCCTAATTTTTATATAACTGTGGAGAGATAGAGATCTGACTTCATTCTTCTGTTAATAAAGACCCAGTTTCTAGAACCACTTATTTTAAAGTCCATCCTTTCTCCAACTCATGTTCTTCATGCCATTTTTGAAGGTCAGTTGCTGCAGATGTACAAGTTGACTTCTGGTATGTGCATCTATGTGCTTTTCGTTTTACCAACACCAAGGTAGATGTTTCCTAACAACATGGCTTTCATGCTGTGGTGTGGCTATTGCTCACTGAGCTTATCGAGTTTTACAGTAAGAAGGGAAGCAATTAAAGAGAAAACTTGAGTTTTAAATAGGAGAATGGAGAGTTGCCTTGAGAGCAAGATACCAACCAACAAAGGCCTCAGATTTCAAACAAACAAATATAAGAAAGAAAAGAAACTTCATTTGTGAGGAGAGAGACTCAATTAGCTACACCAACAAAAGGGATTCTCTGCTCCAAAACAACCATTTAGGAATTTTTTTCCCCAAAGTTCAGCCACTAAGGTGTCCAGAGACCATTACAGCTATGGTAAAAGGGCCAGACTACATCTTGACCTGGCAGTAGAATCTGGCAGCATCATTCATGGAGTGATGATTTTACAAGCATTCAAAATGCGAAAAGTATGAGTAATGGAGGTTTGAAAGGAAGCTCCAGAAAGCTGCTAAGGCTCCAAAAATTTGTGACAAAATTAGATTTTCTACAAAGAGGGCTTGAGAGTTAGTTGGAAGAAGCTGCTTTGAAGTCTAAGTCACAATGGATAACTGCTGATATTGGAGATGCCAGGACTGTTGGATATCTACCAAGGAAATCATGGAGTGGAACAGGGTTCAGGGAAGGCTACATGTATTCCAGGTGCCAGACAGGTTAGTCTGCAAGACCTTTGGTGACACCGCACACTTGAGATGTTTGACAAAGTAGCTAGATTTGGTGTTTGCTCTGTTGGATTTTGGGTTTTCTTTGGGCAGGTCTTTCTTTGTTATTCTCCTGTCCATCCATTTTTAATAGTAATGCTTACTTTGTGATATTGAATATTGGAAGAATATAACTTACTTGTTTACATTTTTTCCAGAGTGCTCAGTTAAGAGATGGTTTTGAATCCCAGAAGAGACATTTGGTTTTGAGTGTGGTATTGATCCTGTCTGTTAAAAATATGGGAATTTTGAAGTTAGATTGAACATGTTTAAAATTATGAAATGTCTCTGAGCCCATAGAGAAGAGGGATAGAATGTAGTGATTTAAAAATGATGTAGTTCTTAGTGTAGTGCTGAGGCCTTGTGGGCTTTCTCCCATCTACTTTAGCATGCCTATTATCCTTGTTCAGCTCATGTTTAGGCAGTCATGTTGGTGAGACTTTATGGGTGTGCTTTCTGACAGTCCTAAGATGAACAATCTCACAGCTAACCCACTGATCTTCAGCCTTTTACAATCTTCCTGCCTGCCCCTACTTCCACAAAGATTCCTGAGCCTTGGGTACCAGAGTTGTTTTATAGATGGATCCACTGGGACTGAGCTCCAATGTCAAATTTTGATTGGTTGTAGTTGTTGTAACTATATTATAATCTCAAAAAATAAAAAAATAATAATTTTAAGAAAATATTGTATTTTGGTATCAGGTTGACAAGGGTGGACTTTTGATAGTTATTCCTCATTGTCAATTTGACTGGATTTTAGAATAACCTAGGAGTCAAACCTTTGGGAATTTCTGTGTGACTTTTTCCAGAGAAGTTTAACTGAGGAAGAAAGACTCACCCCAAATATGTTCCAGGTATCTAGCAGGGACAAAAAGGATGAAACGAGCAGGATATCCTGATGAGCACCAGCACTTACCTGTCTCTGCTTCCTGACTGCAGACCCGACGTGACCAGCTTTCCACTCTCCCACTGTCTTGTCTTCTCCACTAGGAAAGAACACCTCCTGTTGCTTTTGCCATTATTTTGTCCCAGTGTTATGTGAAGTAACTGATACACATTCCTTGCAGGAAACACCACTCTTCTCTCACAATCCTTACTTTATCTTTAACCGTTCTCCTATTTCCTTTTCCAAGTTTAGTTAACCTACTCTTTTAGGGCCAGGTCAGTAGCTAGGATGCTTTTTCTATATATCCATGTGACTAACTTTTGTTTAAAGAAATTCTTTTCACAAATATCCCCTCACCAGGGAGGTCTAATAAATTGCCCTTTCTCAGCTTTATACTGTATCTTCATTTCTTTTTTATTTTATAGCATCTGTTTCCTCTCATCAAACTATGTAATAATTTACTTAAGTTTATCATTTATTGTATGTCTTTGTTTATTGGAATATAAGCTTACATTTTCCTACATTAATTTGTTTATTTGTTACATATGTGTTCAAGAGATATGTACACCACAGTGCACATGTCAGAGAACAATATTCAGGAGTCAGTTCTTGCCTTCCCCCATGTGGATCCCAAGGACCAAACCCAGCTCATCAAACTTGGCTACAAGCACTCTTAACTGCTAAGCCAACTAGTTGACCCTATCTAAGCTAAGATTTTTCTCTTCATTCTCTTGAATGTTTCAAGTGCTTACAATGGGAACTTGTAAGTACTAGGTGCTCAGTGAATGGGTTGGAAGGGAAATGATTATACTATATATTGATTGTACTATATACTGTATATTGGAACTTTCTTCTTGCTCACCTGCTTATCACTACACCATGAACTTTTTAAAGGCAGAGACATTTGTTTTGTGAATATTTACAACAACTTAATGCATTTTCCAAAAACAATGGATATATAATAAATATTTGCTAAGTACAAGTGTTCATTTCTCACCTCATCATCCCACAGCTTTGTAAGGTAGGAAATTATAGCATGTAAAACCAGAGGAGAAATTCAAGATCCATTGTAAACTAGAACAGTTTCTTAGAGCTCCAAAGCTGAAGAGTCCAATATAGACCAATATGGTAAAAATCTCTTATTCAAATTATATACACAAGTTAAGAACTCAGGTGGTGTTGCTAGGTGGTGGTGGCACACACCTTGAATCTTAGCACTCAGGAGGCAGAGCCAGGCAGATCTCTGCGAATTAGAGGCCATCCTGGTCTACAGAGCGAGATCCAGGACAGGCACCAAAACTACACAGAGAAACCCTGTCTGGAAAAAACAAAAACAAAAACAACAACAAAAAAGAACTCATGGTCAGGAAAATGGCACAGCAGGTAAAAGCACTTGCTATCAAGCAACCTGTGTCTCATCCTTGGCACTTACACTGTGGAAGGAGGGAGCTAATTCCTACAAGTTATCCTCTGACCTCCACAAGTACACTGTGATGTATGCATATGCAAACACACACACACACACACACACACACACACACACACGAATAAAATTTTAAAGGATTCAAGAATTCACTGGAGTTGATTTGATCATTTTCTACCACCCGTGCTAGTATTTGAGATATTTAAGTTAGTAAATTGGACAGCCATCAACTGTGAATGATGCACCAGCCATCGAACTTGAATGATGCACCAGCCATCGAACTTGAATGATGCACCATGCCTTCTTTAACTTCTCTTTTTGTTTCCTTTCTCAGAGCGCTTCCTGCCATGATGCAGTGGGTCCGCACCCAGAAGCCAGGAGAGAGTGGCATCAATATTGTCACTGCTGATTTTGTAGAACTTGGCGATTTTATCAGCACTGTCATAAAACTCAACTATGTCTTTGATGAAGGGGAAGCCAACACTTGATATTCCTCTTTGGTGTGTCCATGAGTAAGATAGAGAAGCCTCATTGTATTAGACGTATTATCAAATACACCCTCTGATTTTCCTATTCTGCTGAGCCTCTGAAGGAATTAAGGCTGTCGGTGAGTGGGAAAAGAGGGTAAACCATGTCTTCAGTGATTGTAACCATATTCTGCATTACTATAAATATGTCATTTCCCATTTGGTGAGCAAAATCTACTACTAGTGTTAGGAATAGAAAAGAACAGTGAATTTTGTTTTTCAGAATTAATGTTTGTGATATGTGACTCATGAGTGTTTACTTGATTGCATTTTCTAGTTTCAACCTCGGGCTCCTGTACTATTTATACCCTCTACCCTTTCCACTCCCTCTCTCTTGCTCGCTCTTTCTAATTAGATGCTATACGGGTCTCAAAGCAATTGAATGCCCAGCATAATGTGTGTTACATTGTTGTACTGAAATGTGTTTGTTTTGTGAGACTTGATAAAATATTCCATAGTCATCTGCAATTGAGCGGTCATAGCTAATTCTTGGTCGTAGAAAATATGCATCAAATCAATTTCCTTGTATCAGTAATATTGACAGTCATTAGTGATTTTTGTGTTCTATGGAAACAATGATGTTTCAGAGTATTTCTGTGTGAGGCAGCTAGGACTATCATGCAAAAAGATTTTTGGGAGGACTATGAGCATCAACTCTGTATTTTAAAAAGAAGAAGAAAAGAAGAAGAAGACTGTATTCATAGACAGCTACTATTTTAATTCAACAGTCTGGAATAATAATGCCCTGCAAATGTCAAGCTACAGTTGTGTGTTAATCTGAAAAAAAGAAATTTAAATCTATAAAAACTTCTCTTAATAATTTTAATTTTTCTTAAAAAATCAAAAGAAAGAACACGAGACTCTCCTATAAAATTGGGATTCCAATGCAAAATTCTAAAACCCAGATTATGAAAAAGTTTTAAGGAAGTTGTATTTGTATTTATACCTTAGAAGAAAATGAAGGAATGCAGAGGGAGTCCAAATAATGTTTTTGAGACTTTATCCATAATCCCTAAAGTTCCTTTACAAATTCTTTCAATATGTATGATCTCTACAGACTCATCTACAGTCAGCAGTCCAAGGTCCATCCTGCTTGAGGTGAGAAAAAGGCCAATGGGCTGAAGTCTCGTACAAAGTTTCTGTGGTATCACTTTTGGTAATAACAATGTTAACACACTTGTTATATCCTCCTGTGTCCAGTAGTATTTGACAACTCCAAAAACAATCGTCAAAGGGCACAATTCCCCCTTCTCTTTGTTTCACAGGAATAATGTGAGGGATTTGCAAAAATCTGTACAATTTCTGAAGTTCCTAAAATTATAAATTATATTATCTTCACATATAGAAATAATCAAACCTTAATAGTTTCCTGGGACAATGCATTTCCATGCATATCAAACTCCTGGAGAAATGAAAGCACTCCCTTGGCTTTTAATTAATTTGAACAGAAGACAAATGAGTTAGTCTCTTTGACATAATTAAGGAGTTGATTTAAAGTTATTTCTCAATATTGTAAATAACCAAGAGTTGATTTAGAGAACAATTACTCTTCATCAGAAAACAGCACTTTCTAAAAACTACAGAGTGAAAAAAAAGTTTACACTCAATAGAATGTTTGTGAAAAATGTGGTCTCTTTTTAGAATAAGTAACATGCCTATGTATACAGCAGATATGTTTATAATTCCAGTTGTGTGTGTATTTTGTCACACATACTCTTGTTCAAGCAAGCTGATACTGATATACACAAATACACAAATTATATGAAAAATAAGATAATTGTCTTCAAATAAAAGCACTGATATTAGTAAATAATTTAATTTAAAAATGAATCCAAGAGCCAGGTATGGTAGTACATGCCCATAATCCCAGAACTTGAGAAGCAGGAGAATCAATACTTCTTCAAGAGTAGCCTGGGCTATACTTTGAGCTCAAGGTTATCCTGGGCTACATAGTGAGATCCTATCTCAAAAATTGGAAAAAATAAAATGAAAATAACATCCTTTAACAATGTATGGGACATGTTACAAAACATTTGAAAATGAAGTAGTTCATCATATAAAATATTTTTATAAAATCATTACAGCTTAGGACTTAATATTCACAGAGTATACTTCCCCCTTTGTTTATCTATCCTTTGCAAATCTATTATCTATTTCACTTGATCTTCTTGTGCAGATAAATAGGAACTCTTTTTAGTTGATTGTTGACATTGTACTCTATAAAACTGCTTATGGAGTCAGTTCATTCTCTGACTCCCCAATTTTGATGCCTCATGAGCATCTATAACCAAGCACAGTTGCGTTGACACAATTATTTAGCTTACAATATGACAAAAAGAAAATCTTAATCTGTTAACAAAAAAAATAGATGCAATGTAGAACTTACTGTATTGTATTTTCTTAAATTTGGATGCTTTCCTGCAGTGTATGCACATAGCCAACTTTGTGATATTTGTTATTTGCGTACTGGGAAGAATTAACATAATGAAGCATTAGACTGAAATTTCTTAACTAGGAAAGAGGGGTTTGTTTGTTTGTTTTTGTTTTGTGGATTTTGCCATTAATGATATCAACACAGAACTTTGTTAGAAAAAAGGTACTTTCAATCTGAACTTAGGATTTCCATGTAGATATACAGTTAGTTCCTAGGTAGTAGGCACTGAGATAAATGGGCTTGCCTTAACTTCTAAAGAAGGACTAAGATAGAAACAAGCCATGAGGGAGGTCACTAGAAGGGGTTTCTGGGCAAGAGGAGTAGAGATAAGGTGCCTTGGGCTGTCTTCTGGTCATTGGCCCCGCTATTGAGCACATTCATGGAGCAGACCGTGGGCCTTTCATAGATAAGTGATGGCATGCAGTCCAATCAGGCTTTTAGTTCTGCTTTGTCTTTCTAGAGACCAGGGAGCACAAGGGCTACACACAAGCTTCCAGTGTAGCTATGTCTTGCTGTACGTTTTGTTTCACTGGCACTTTAAGACAACTTTATGTTACAAGTCCCACAAAGCAAAAAAAAAAAAACAAAAAACAAAAAAAACAACTAAGATCCAAGTCTTACTCAATCCATGGCAGTAAATCCAAGGAGTGAGAGGAATGAGAGAAAATTCTCAATAAAATCATTTTTACATTTGCTTTCCTGTAAGTTACTCTGAAGGACCAATATAGCAAATACTTCTGCCATTACCAGTTATGTCTCCTTCTTACTACACAGTCATGGGAGCACAGAGAATGAGGAGGCATCCTTTAAAAGCCTTAGGAAATTCTATATGGTAACCTCAGTGTTACCATATAGGGAAAACTCACATTTCACAGAACACCACCTAACAGAGAATGTATCCGAGCGTAAAATATGTGGCAAGACGCATACACACAGACAGTCACTCTCTCTCTCTCTCTCTCTCTCTCTCTCTCTCTCTCTCTCTCTCTCTCTCTCACACACACACACACACACACACACATTACAACCAATCAGCCAAACTGGTTTTATTGCAATTTTAAACTCTTGAAATCAATCTTTCCTCTGTTATTAGGTTTGAATATAGATCAAGTATTTGAATGTTTAAGGGGAGAAAAATCATTATAAAACCAATAAAAAAGTGAGACCAGCAGAAACTAGAACCACCCAGCAGTAGTGCTCTCTATTTATACTGTCAGTTACCCTCAAGAGACATGATCGAATACAAATTTGAATATAGATGTTTGAACGCATACACATCTTCACTCAAAGCTGTTCTTCTAAAGAAGAGTCTTTGTTCTGAGGTGTTTTTTGGCGATGCCACCTGTCCATGTTCCTACCTGTTAGAATTACAGACTAGAGAATTGGAAGTCTCAGGAAATGCATGTTTTTGTTAGTTTTTAGTGCCATTTTACAAATATTTAGCAACACAATCTTCAAACTTTTCTTTGGTTGGTCAACCAAAGAGGAGATGAGTAGGTCAAGTGCTCGCATCCTGAACAGCTAAGAGAAAATAACACACAGTGTCTGTCCCTCAGGAGACGCTAATAAGATCTCTAAAGCATTTTATTTTGCTATATTTTAGTCTTTTACACTAGTTTTCAGTGAAACCATGGTGTGAATGCTCTATTTGCCATAACTTATTGGTGGCTCCTGTGTAATGTATAGTTTAAAATAACGTTCCAAATTGTTTGTTTTCCCAATGACGATAATAAAATATTCTATAGAGTTTGTAACAGGTGTTAATTGCAAATTGTGTAACTTTTATTTTAATTGTGATACAATTTTGTAGTTCTTAGTTCTGATCCTACATCTGTATGAGTCAAAATTGTCAGTGGTACGTGTAATTATATTGTATCTTCTTAAACATCAAACTTATCCTAAAGAAAAAGGGCACGTCATGACTAGCCTTAACTCATTGTCATTTTTTTTTGCTTTGTTTTGTTTTAGCATGATTCAGTTGCTGCAATTTGGATTTAAATTTTTAGCGGAAGTCATATTTCTTCTAAAAATGTCACTTAAGCAATCTTATGGAGTATATGCTTTAGAACGTCACTGAGTTCTCACAACTCTACTTCCCAGCTTGTTCATCGGTTATGCTATTTGAAAGTATCCGATACCACCTAGTTTACCAACTCCATTATTCACTGGAAGACTAAATTCACATTTATTATTTCCATTCATTATTTTCAGCGCCGAAATTCCAACACAGTATTTTGTAATGGTGGGTCATTTCTACTTTAATGGTAAGATTTCTATGGGAAGTTATTTCCCTAACCCACTGCTTTTGAAGTTATTTCTCTAACCCACTGCATATGAAATAAGATGGACTGCCTGCATCTATGAGAATCACAGAAGCTCCATTGACATGAGGTGATCCCAATATGGTTTGCTTCTCAGCAAAACCAGTAACAACACTCATCTTTCTCTCTTCCCCACGGGCAACAGGAAACTCCCAACCAGTCTACAAAGGTGGTCAGATCAGAAGCAAAACTATAATCTCCCTTAGGATTAGACTCTATTTATGAACATTGTTTCCCAATTTCTTCCATTCTTAATTATTTCTTTTTAATGATTACAGCTGCCAAGTAAAATATATAACAGCAGTGAAATTCGTATCTCAGATATGTAATATGTTATTGAGTTTCCTATATAGTTCATCAGAACTGCTTACACTAAAATTCTTATTTACCTAAGGATTTTAAATTTTAAATGGATATGTTCTACATTGCTTCATTTATTCTGGCAACATTATACGTAGTTCCTCCCAATCTTTTTCAGTTGGGCTGCTGTGAGCTCTGAGATCACTGTCCTATACTAAGACTACTCATAAAATCTGTAGTTTAGGTCCCTTTATGAAGAAAATACAGTTTCACACTAAGTCTACAGATGCTTTTCAAGAAGCATCCCAAAAGTCACTTGAAAAATCAAACAAATATCTTCATTAGATGAATGCTACCAAATTCATTTTTTTCCTATAATAGCATGCTGGAGGACTGGATTCTACTGATTATTTCTGGAAATAGTATCACCCAGTTATCGAGACAACCAAAAACATGGCACACTTTAAAAACTTCTCTTGGAAAGTGGGAGTGCCTTCTAACTCAAGACCAGAGCTGTTCTAAAATTCAGTGTGTTTTCTTTTGAAAGAGGAATCAAATAAACCCATCATTCCACTCCCTATCATTAACACCTTAAAATTATTTTATGAATTACAAGTAGTCATCTATGTAACTGTAGAACATTTGATGAAAGGAACTCTTTAGGGAGGGAGAGAAGAATCTAAGGTAAATACTGTCTGGTCCTGAGGGCTTCTTCCCATACTGGAGGATGATGCTGGGGACAGAAAGTGGTCTCTGGGGTAAAGCCCATGCCAGAGACAGTTGCTGAAGCAGGTTGTATTGAGAAGTTGGTTTTCGGGAACCGAAACTGAAAAACCCAGAATATGAGCTATGAGATCTAAGTGTGGTTCCTAAATCAGCTTTCAAAGACTACAACCATTCCGGTATTCCTAAATAAATACCCAGTGTTTCCAACACAGAGTCCGTCATAGTCTGAGAACAGATGGAGTTCTGGAAAATTCCTGATAGCTACCTCCTCTCTTGAAATTCTGATGAGAAAAATAGGAAAATCGAGTTCCATAATGTTTCCATCTCATGATTGCTGCCTGTATGTATTTGTGTTGATTTGCTTCATTTTTGGAGAAAGAGAATGTGTAGAGCTGGTGATGTTTCCTTCATGGATCCCAGGAATTCACCAGAGGGAGTCAGACCTGTGCCTTCTCTTTTTAGGATCTGTTCATTGATATTTTAGTAAATGTGCTGTTATGGAAATCCATGCCTATAGTCTGTATAGAAGATGTGATTTTTATATATAAAATTGTGTTCTTAATGTAAAAAAAAAAGTTTATTTGTAGCTAGTGAAGTTGCTTAATAAAGTCCTGGTACCAGTTTCGTTTATTTTTTCCCAATTTATATTCATCCATGCTTCATTATAAGCAACCAAATAGATCTCTCAAGTTAAATATGATTCAGAACATCTTTAAAAAAAAAACCCCAAGCATCATCACAATAGGATCTCCTTAACCAAAAAATTGTTTCTGTGCTAATAAAGGAAAAGCATCGCATGCTTTGATTATGTTAAAGGTCTTAATGTTGAATGTAGCTATCTTTTGATACCATTCCTCATACAGTAAGTATCAACACATAATATATTAATGTAACTTGTTGATATTACAAAGCATCTCAAACTAAAAACTTAAGGTGAGGGAAATAACCTGATGAGCTCCCACTCCATATGACACATGAGACATTCGTTTGAGAAATGGAGCTACTTTTGTGTTTCACCAAATATTCCTAATTATTGGGAGATTCAAATCATGCTTTACCAAGAAAAATCTGAATGCTATTAGAGTTCTATAAAGGCATCTGACAAACAAATGTAGTTGAAAATTAACTTTATAAATCCACTGGTTTTAGTTTGATTTCTATTGGTGTGAAAAGCACCATGACCAAAAGGAACTTGGAGAGGAAAGAGTTTACTTCGTCTTGTAACTCCCAGGTCACAATCCACAGCTGAATGAAGTCAGGGCAGGAACTCAATATAGGAACCTGAAGGCAGAAATTGAGACAATTGAGTCAAGACTGAAACCATGGAGAAAAGATACTTACCAACTTTCTCTCCATGGCTTGCTCAGCTTGCTTTTTTATACCACCTAGGAGCTTGGTCAAAGGTGTCACCTAATATAGTGAGATGGGTTTTTCCATGTCAGTCATTAATCAAAGAAATGCCCCACAGATATGACTACAAACAAATCTGATGGAGGCATTTTCTTGTGTTTGCTTTCTTGTTGTGGTTGTTATCTTTGAGACAAGGTCTCACTATGTAGGCATGGCTGGCCTGCAACTCACTATGAAGACCAGATTAACCTCAAACTCATAGAGGTCTGCCTGTCTCTGCCTCCCAGAGGGCTGATATTAAAGGTGTGCGCCACCACACTAGATTCTAGAGACAGGTTCTTAATTAAGGTTTCTCTTCTCAGATAACTCTGGTTTATGTCAAGTTAACAAAACCCACCCAGGACAGCGGCCACAACTGTATCTTATATATGTCATAGGTTCATGACATCAGAAGATCTCTACTTATGAAGTTGTAACGATCTCTGTATTTAGGAAGTATCAGTGTTCTATAAATAGTCTTTGACCATGATTATGGCCATGCTTCCTTGGCAGAACATTTCATCAGCTTTGTTTAGCGCATATTTATCCTACTATGTGACAGGCTCCCATTAAGCATAGCAAAAACATTTCTAAAATGTTCCTTAGAGAACTTGATAAAGTACATGTTTGATAGATTCTCACAAGATCTAACAAGTGACATGATTTTGCTCCCTAAAGAAGCAAATAAACAGACATGCTCAATGACCTTTTCTAAGTAGTATTTCTAAAGAGTAAAATGTTAAACATAGGTTTATATTCCTGAGAACCCAGAAACAAGCTATCTTTCTTGATTCTTAATTTTTATTATTCATTTCCAAAATAAAGTCAGCTGTGGCAACAAGATATAAGAGCAGCTCCTGATCACAATGGTACAAGCTCAGTCACTGTGACAGCCAGGGTCAAGAACTCTAAAGGAGAAGCAGAATGTGCTCCACACCTTGTTCTCAATAACCCTTTGTCCTCTACTCTGCCCTCTTGTATCTTTGCCTTCCTCTGGCCGTCATCTTCCTCTACTCCTTTTCCTTCCAATAACCTGGGTTCTCCCTTATCCCTTCTCCTTCCTCTGCACTGCTTCCTTCCCCTAGCCTAGTGCATCCCCTTCCCCTGGACCCCTCTACAACTTTCCTTTCTCTATCCGTTCCCCTCATCTACCTTGTCCTCCTCTGCCTTGTCCTC